AGGAGCAAAGAGTCGGGGACAGGAGCTGTGACTCATCCCCTGCAACCAAAAAAAGGTGAATACAAATATGTGAGTACAGACACACACACACGCCACACACACACACACACACACACACACACACACACACACACACACACACACACACACACACACACACACACAAGCACACAAGCACACTGCCTGAGGCTCACATCAACAGTATAACTGCTACAGCAAACAAGCATCTGGTAAACCCACGACCAGCTTTCAGGAGCCTAAGCAAGGAGTAATTTATGATACTGAATATAGCATATGTCAGGCTTATATTGGAGTATGCAGCACCATTATGGAGCCCACACACTATCAAGGAGAGACTAAGGGAGTGTTACGGTTCGAATCTTAATCTTTAGCCAGGTTAGTGCACTCCGTAACAACACACTTCATGGAATGAGAGGATATGGTTCCAAACTTAGAAATGTAAGGCACAAATAATAGTTACTCAGTCTTTTCTAGTTTCTTTTTATTTAAAAGTTTAAATACTTTAGATCTTCATAAATATCTATTAAATATCACTGTCAGAAACTTTCCTTCACACAAGAAAATTCTTAAATAGAATGTACATGATAGACCTCCTCTGGAGACTGTCAGTATGGTCACTACACTTGATAATGATCACAGGAATATTACTGCTTCCTCAATAGTAACATTACTTGTGTGTAAGTACATATATTGAGAATTAACACTTTCACTGAGTAACTCCCTGGCATAAGGAATATATCACAAAGTTCTAAGCTTGACACTGGTCGTCACATCGTAACCTGAAGGTAACAGTATATAATTGTCCACAGACTTCACTTCACAATAAACCACAAGCTGGTTCAGGAGTTTCTATAACACAATTCTCTATCCAATTGAGAATAAGGCGGAGTACTAGGGGGGTAGCTCAGTCAATGTACACTGAGTCGGCAGAGAGAGCGAACTCGCCATAGACAGTAAATCCCTTCATGACATCAACTCGTCAAAAGGGGGAGAGGGTAGAGCGGTGCGGACTACCCACCAATGGACATACCTTGTTATAAACCTTAGCGAGGTGTACCTACCTAACACATTACTCAAGATATATATATATATATATATATAAATTATATATATATATATATATATATATATATATAATATATATATATATATATATATATATATATATATACATCATACCCGGGTATATTCCTAAATCAGATAATATTATAAACTAGTGGAATCTTTAATTTAGCTAATATTAAAGAAACCCCGAATATAATATTAAGTGGATAATACATATAAATTAATCCCATTATGACCTTGGTCATAACAGGGAGCTTAACCTGTTGACAGTAGAGGTAAGAATGTCTGGGGGTGATATGATAGCAACAACAGTGCTGAGAGGAACTGACAAGAGCTACAGCGAAAGACTGTTCAAGAGAGGGAAACAGAAACACAAAGGCACAGCTGGGAGTTGAAAATACAGATGAGTCACAAGGATGTCAGAAAGTATTTCTTAGGTTTTAGAGTAATCACAATATGGAACGACCTGGAGAGTGGAGTTGAAGGTACGATCCATTTAGGGGTTTAAGAATAGGTATAATAAGGCTTTCGAGAACAGGACAAAGAGGACCTAGTTGACGACTCGGGTCTCGGCGTTCAGAATGATCTCAGCAATCACACAGAAATGAGTTCATACTGGTGAGCACACGCACACAAGGGATCCATAAATAGCTTTAAGAAGAGGTATGATAAAGCTTATGGAGCAGGGAGTGAACCTAGTAGCGACCAGTGAAGAGGCAGGGCCAGGAACTATGGCTCGACCACTGGAACCCCCAGTTTGGTGAACTAGGTGAATAAACACATGAAAAAACACAAATAAGATATGAAACCCCGAACACCATAGCTCTCAGAAACAAAAGTAACTAAAATGATAGCAGATGCTATAATCCAAGCAAGTGATCAGTAATGAAGAAAACAGAATAGGGTAGGAAAAATATTTTTAATCAGAAACCAGTGGAGTTCTAGGAAGATGAAGCAGCTATGTAGACGTGAGTAGAAACACAACATAATAAGCAATATCAACACTTGAGAATCTTAAGAAACAAGAGTTACCTATAACATAAGGGACAGAATGACTTGTGTAGGAGCTGTTTGTGACTGAATGACTTGTGTTGGTGCTGTTTGTGACTGAATGACTTGTGTTGGTGCTGTCTGTGACTGAATGACTTGTGTTGGTGCTGTCTGTGACTGAATGACTTGTGTTGGTGCTGTCTGTGACTGAATGACTTGTGTTGGTGCTGTCTGTGACTGAATGACTTGTGTTGGTGCTGTCTGTGACTGAATGACTTGTGTTGGTGCTGTCTGTGACTGAATGACTTGTGTTGGCGCTATCTGTGACTGAATGACTTGTGTTGGTGCTGTCTGTGACTGAATGACTTGTGTTGGTGCTGTCTGTGACTGAATGACTTGTGTTGGTGCTGTTTGTGACTGAATGACTTGTGTTGGCGCTGTCTGTGACTGAATGACTTGTGTTGGCGCTATCTGTGACTGAATGACTTGTGTTGGCGCTGTCTGTGACTGAATGACTTGTGTTGGCGCTATCTGTGACTGAATGACTTGTGTTGGTGCTGTCTGTGACTGAATGACTTGTGTTGGTGCTGTCTGTAACTGAATGACTTGTGTTGGTGCTGTTTGTGACTGAATGACTTGTGTAAGAGCTGTCTGTGACTGAATGACTTGTGTTGGTGCTGTCTGTGACTGAATGACTTGTGTTGGTGCTGTTTGTGACTGAATGACTTGTGTAGGAGGTGTCTGTGACTGAATGACTTGTGTTGGTGCTGTCAGTGACAGAATGACTTGTGTTGGTGCTGTCTGTGACTGAATGACTTGTGTTGGTGCTGTCAGGGACAGAATGACTTGTGTTGGTGCTGTCTGTGACTGAATGACTTGTGTTGGTGCTGTCAGGGACAGAATGACTTGTGTCGGTGCTGTCTGTGACTGAATGACTTGTGTAGGAGCTGTCTGTGACTGAATGACTTGTGTTGGTGCTGTTTGTGACTGAATGACTTGTGTTGGTGCTGTTTGTGACTGAATGACTTGTGTAGGAGCTGTCTGTGACTGAATGACTTGTGTTGGTGCTGTTTGTGACTGAATGACTTGTGTTGGTGCTGTTTGTGACTGAATGACTTGTGTAGGATCTGTCTGTGACTGAATGACTTGTGTTGGTGCTGTCTGTGACTGAATGACTTGTGTTGGTGCTGTCTGTGACTGAATGACTTGTGTTGGTGCTGTCTGTGACTGAATGACTTGTGTTGGTGCTGTTTGTGACTGAATGACTTGTGTTGGTGCTGTCAGGGACAGAATGACTTATGTTGGCGCTGTCTGTGACTGAATGACTTGTGTAGGAGCTGTCTGTGACTGAATGACTTGTGTTGGTGCTGTCTGTGACTGAATGACTTGTGTTGGTGCTGTCTGTGACTGAATGACTTGTGTTGGTGCTGTCAGGGACAGAATGACTTATGTTGGTGCTGTCAGGGACAGAATGACTTATGTTGGTGCTGTCTGTGACTGAATAACTTGTGTTGGGGCTGTCAGGGACAGAATGACTTATGTTGGTGCTGTCTGTGACTGAATAACTTGTGTTGGGGCTGTCAGGGACAGAATGACTTATGTTGGTGCTGTCTGTGACTGAATAACTTGTGTTGGGGCTGTCAGGGACAGAATGACTTATGTTGGTGCTGTCTGTGACTGAATAACTTGTGTTGGGGCTGTCAGGGACAGAATGACTTATGTTGGTGCTGTCTGTGACTGAATGACTTGTGTTGGTGCTGTCTGTGACTGAATAACTTGTGTTGGGGCTGTCAGGGACAGAATGACTTGGGTTGGTGCTGTCTGTGACTGAATGACTTGTGTTGGTGCTGTCTGTGACTGAATGACTTGTGTTGGGGCTGTCAGGGACAGAATGACTTATGTTGGTGCTGTCTGTGACTGAATGACTTGTGTTGGTGCTGTCAGTGACAGAATGACTTGGGTTTGTGCTGTCAGTGACAGAATGACTTGTGTTGGTGCTGTCTGTGACTGAATGACTTGTGTTGGTGCTGTCTGTGACTGAATGACTTGTGTTGGTGCTGTCTGTGACTGAATGACTTGTGTTGGTGCTGTCAGTGACAGAATGATTTGTGTTGGTGCTGTCTGTGACTGAATGATTTGTGTTGGGGCTGTCTGTGACTGAATGACTTGTGTTGGTGCTGTCAGTGACAGAATGATTTGTGTTGGTGCTGTCTGTGACTGAATGACTTGTGTTGGTGCTGTCAGTGACAGAATGACTTGTGTTGGTGCTGTCTGTGACTGAATGACTTGTGTTGGTGCTGTCAGTGACAGAATGATTTGTGTTGGTGCTGTCTGTGACTGAATGATTTGTGTTGGGGCTGTCAGGGACAGAATGACTTGTGTTGGTGCTGTCTGTGACTGAATGACTTGTGTTGGTGCTGTCAGTGACAGAATTATTTGTGTTGATGCTGTCTGTGACTGAATGACTTGTGTTGGTGCTGTCAGTGACAGAATGATTTGTGTTGGTGCTGTCTGTGACTGAATGACTTGTGTTGGGGCTGTCAGTGACAGAATGATTTGTGTTGATGCTGTCAGTGACAGAATGACTTGTGTTGGTGCTGTCAGTGACAGAATGATTTGTGTTGGTGCTGTCTGTGACTGAATGACTTGTGTTGGTGCTGTCAGTGACAGAATGATTTGTGTTGGTTCTGTCTGTGACTGAATGACTTGTGTTGGTGCTGTCAGTGACAGAATGATTTGTGTTGGTGCTGTCTGTGACTGAATGACTTGTGTTGGTGCTGTCAGGGACAGAATGACTTGTGTTGGTGCTGTCTGTGACTGAATGACTTGTGTTGGGGCTGTCAGTGACAGAACGACTTGTGTTGATGCTGTACCCAACTATCTGTTGTAGTCACCCACCTGTTGGAATTTTTTTCTGGCTTCAGGTTCCGAACGAGACAACAGCGAGGACAGCTGTTAAGACTGTCTTCACAGCATGGTCGAGACAGCTTCAGTCTGCAGCTGCTTCAAGGACAGCTGTGTGTGCTTCTTCAGTTCCAGCCTGACCCAGTGAAGTCTCTCTGTCTCTCACTAGCTCAGGTTACTGATGGTCGCTGGCATGCAGTTACGGCTGCCAGGTGAGAGAGAGAGAGAGAGAGAGAGAGAGAGAGAGAGAGAGAGAGAGTAAAAGTGGGAGGCAGGGTGGGAGAGAGAGAGAGGTTTCCGAATGAGTTAATGCACATAACAGCTCTTAGCTCGTATATAAAGTTAGAAAACTTAACCTAACCTTGTCAAACCCTGTGTGAAAGAGAGAGAGAGAGAGAGAGAGAGAGAGAGAGAGAGAGATTCCTTTAATTCCCCCTGTTATATCTTTCATTCACAGGTATGGATCGGCGACATTCCTTCTTGTGGACGACGGGGATGGTGACCTGTACAATGCGTCCATGTCGTTAGAGGGACGCCAGATGCTGGAAGTGGACACTGTGGAGGGCGTCTACGTTGGGGGGACACCGGAATACGTCAGCGTCAACGTCTTGCAGATTGAAAGCGACTTCCACGACGGTCAGCAAAACCTCAGACAAGTTGTTGTATAACGGCAATCATGTCTTAATACATTTCCTGAGCGCAGTGTTTTTCTCGCATCTATTACGACTTTATTTATTCACTCAGCATTCACGAGTGAACTAACGTAAGTTACGTTCAAAGAAGCGTGTGATAAGACAGATATAATCTTCCCATCATCTTTAAGAAGAAGATAACAGTGATACAATATTAATTCCTCGTCAGGGTGTATTGACGACCTGAGGATCCTCGGCAGGAGTCTGCCTCTGCCCTCTGCTGTCAACAAGACAACATGGGGAGAAGTGAGCACTTTCAAGGATGTAGAAAGTGGATGTGTTGCCCCTCCTGTCTGTAACAACGTCACCTGTGCTCCGCCACTCACGTGTGTCGATACGTGGAGGTCTTACCAATGTGGGTGAGTAACTTGCGTAGGCGTCTGTGTAATATTAAGAGGCGCGTGAATTTCCCTGTCTCCTACGTAATATGCTTATTTTTCCCCTATAATTTACCTCGTCCATAATTACTATTGCATTTGCTTTGTCTGTTTCGTAAGGTGAAGTCCAGGATCTTTCCTTAATTCTTGGTATAACTTAACAAATCTTTGATGACAACTGTGTTGGAGTGGTCTACCTGAAGTATACCTGGTGAGGGTTTCGGGGGTCAACGCCCCCGCGGCCCGGCCTGTGACCAGGGCTCATGGTGGATCAGGGCTTGATCAATCAGGCTGTTACTGTTGGCCGCACGCAACCCGACGTACGAAGCACAGCCCGGTTGGTCAGGTACTGACTTTAGGTGCTTGTCCAGTGCCTGCTTGAAGACAGCCAGGAGTCTATTGGTAATCCCCCTTATGTGTGCTGGGAGGCAGTTGAACAGCCTTTGGCTCCTGACACTTATTGTGCTGTCTCTTAACGTGCTAGTGACACCCCTGCTTTTCATTATGGGAATGTTGCGTCGTCTGCCGAGTCTTGCTTTCACAGGGAGTGATTTTCGTGTGCAAGTTAAGTACTAATCCCTCTAGGATTTTCCAGGTGTATATAATTATGTATCTCTCCCTCCTGCGTTCCAGGGAATACAGGTTCAGGAACCTCAAGCGCTCCCAGTAATTGAGGTGTTTTATCTCCGTTAAGCACGCCGTGAAGGTTCTCTGTACATTTTCTAGGTCAGCAATTTCACCTGCCTTGAAAGGTGCTGTTAGTGTGCAGCAATATTCCAGCCTAGATAGAACAAGTGACCTGAAGAGTGTCATCATGGGCTTGGCCTCCCTAGTTTTGAATTATTATTATTATTATAATAAAAAAGAAGCGCTAAGCCACATGGGCTATACAGCGCTGCTTCTAGTTTTGAAGGTTTTCATTATCTATCCTGTCATTTTTCTACCAGATGCGATTGATACAGTGTTGTGGTCTTTGAAAGTGAGAGCCTCCGGCATTATCACTCCCAGGTCAGATATGAGGATGAGGAACAGCATGGGAAAAGTACTGTGCATTGTGGAACAGAGCTTTTCACAGCATCCGCCTCAAACTTTACTCTGTTTACTACTACTCTTTGTGTTCTATTTGCCAGGACATTATAAATCCATCTACCAACTTTTCCTCTTATTCCTTTAAAACGCATTTTGTGCGCTATTACACCATGGTCACACTTGTTAAACGTTTTTGCAAAATCTGTGAATACTACATCTGCGTTTGTCTTCTATAGAATCCAGGACCTTGTGAGAGTGGTCCAGTAGTTGGGAGAGGCAGGAACGACCTGCTCTAAACCCGTGTTGTCCTGGGTTGTGTAACTGATGGGTGTCTAGATGAGTGGCGATCTTGCTTCTTAGAACCCTTTCAAAGATTTTATGATATGCTATCTGTCTGTAGTTCTTTGCAATTGCTTTACTGCCACCTTTGTGGAGTGGGGCTATGTCTGTTGTGGGACGACCCCCGTGTCCATGCTCCCTCTCCATAGGATGTTAAAAGCACATGATATTGGGACTTGAGTAGCTCACTCATTGTCTTGCTGTCATCTGTGTAGGACCCATCTCGTCCAGGTACAGGCCCAATAGCAAAGCTCACACCTCTGCAACACAATTGTCCTCAAAGATTTGTTAAGTTATTCCATGAATTAAGGAAAGATCCTGAACTTCACCTTACGAAAGCAGACAAAACAAATGCGATAGTAATTATGTACAAAGTAGATTATAGGGGGAAAATAAGATATTAGAAAACAGGGGAACTGACGTTTTAAGAGTGTTTGTGGTGATTGTTGTAGTAAAGATGATATGAGAAAGTTACGTACTGGTCTTCACTGATCTGCTGTTGCTCTCTTCATATAACACTCACTTTCTCAAAATTAATCTGTGGCAATGTAAAGTTTATTATAAACATTAATTATAATACAGCCTGGTTGATCAAAAACAGCCTGGTTGATCAGACCTTGATCCACCACGAGGCCTGGTCTCAGACCGGGCCGCTGGGGCTTTGACCCCTGAAACCCTCTCCAGGTATACTCCAGGTATGCTCCCTGATTGCTGTGGATGGTTTCAGGTGCGGCGAGGGACGAGTCTTGAACAACGGCAATATTAGCAGCAACAGCAGTAACAGCAACAAGGGCAGCATAAACAGTAGAAGCAAGGTGACGTGTGAGGACCAGGACGAGTGTGTGTGGCATCCTTGTCTTAATGGTGGTTCCTGTTTCAACACACCTGGTAGGTAAACTGGCAATGGCCGACAAGTGGAAAAAGAGAACGGAGAAATTAGAAAATGCACCGCCATGTAAGGCAAACGAGAACCACGAAGTCAAGCTCGGAGAAAGACAGATCATATATGAGGTCATAGAGTTGCAAGATCAAGTAAAGGTGAGGTCAGGTGCCGGTGAGAGTAACAGGGGGGCGGGTAAAGGTGACCAGTTTGTTATGTTTGTTACATGGATCGTAGATCTTGTGGTGAAAGGTTCAACCAACACGTACATTCCACTGTTTTCATCAGTGGTTTTGATGAGGATCACTACTGTTATCAAAGTTCTGGGTCTGGTCTTGTTCTCATGGTGTAATAATTGCTCTTGTCCTATCCATAATGTGAGAATGAAGGCTGCGATAAATAATGCAAGCGTTGTTAAGTTTTTTCCTCCAGCAGGCATATTTATGTTCCTGAAGGAAGATCTGAAGGTCTTTGCCGGTTTCCTCGACATAGAATTTATCGTATGCATCACACAGTATGCTGTATATTCCTTCTGTGCAAATAGTTCTGGCTCCAGAGCTGCTGATGATTTCTTTAATGGATTTAATAGTAAGGACTGCTACATCCATGTTGGCTTTTCCGAGAATCGAAGCGATGTTGATGTTTGCCCAGGGAGCAGCATTAGTCGCCCAGCGATGTTGATGTTTGCCCAGGGAGCAGCATTAGTCGCCCAGCGATGTTGATGTTTGCCCAGGGAGCAGCACTAGTCGCCCAGCGATGTTGATGTTTGCCCAGGGAGCAGCATTAGTCGCCAGCGATGTTGATGTTTGCCCAGGGAGCAGCACTAGTCGCCCAGCGATGTTGATGTTTGCCCAGGGAGCAGCACTAGTCGCCCAGCGATGTTGATGTTTGCCCAGGGAGCAGCACTAGTCGCCCAGCGATGTTGATGTTTGCCCAGGGAGCAGCACTAGTCGCCCAGCGATGTTGATGTTTGCCCAGGGAGCAGCACTAGTCGCCCAGCGATGTTGATGTTTGCCCAGGGAGCAGCACTAGTCGCCCAGCGATGTTGATGTTTGCCCAGGGAGCAGCACTAGTCGCCCAGCGATGTTGATGTTTGCCCAGGGAGCAGCATTAGTCGCCCAGCGATGTTGATGTTTGCCCAGGGAGCAGCATTAGTCGCCCAGCGATGTTGATGTTTGCCCAGGGAGCAGCACTAGTCGCCCAGCGATGTTGATGTTTGCCCAGGGAGCAGCATTAGTCGCCCAGCGATGTTGATGTTTGCCCAGGGAGCAGCACTAGTCGCCCAGCGATGTTGATGTTTGCCCAGGGAGCAGCACTAGTCGCCCAGCGATGTTGATGTTTGCCCAGGGAGCAGCACTAGTCGCCCAGCGATGTTGATGTTTGCCCAGGGAGCAGCACTAGTCGCCCAGCGATGTTGATGTTTGCCCAGGGAGCAGCACTAGTCGCCCAGCGATGTTGATGTTTGCCCAGGGAGCAGCACTAGTCGCCCAGCGATGTTGATATCCTCTTTGAGTATGAGGAGGACTGTGGCATGCAAAGAGTACGTAACCTTTATTCGGCGCATGTACACACCCTCATTTACAGGCTATCTCCCCCAACCAGCGAACCAGGTGACTGAGAGTGGACGATGGAGCCCCGTCGTTCAACTAGTACCCAGGTTCCAGCCAATAAGAAGATGGTTTTGGCAATCGCAGAGGTTATATGGGTACCACTCTCCTGCCTGCCCTTGTCATTCCCATTCTAGAGCTGGTTGAAGCACGGTCTGCTCTCTAGTGGCTTCTATTCTGCCTTGCTTACCGTGGAGTGCACTAATACCTATCACTGTATATAGTGTATATAGTGTACATGCTGCTGTTCTAAATTGGTGAAGGATAATATAAGTCAAAAGTTTTCTGCTGTGTTTATTTTGCTCCCTTTACACCCAGGATGACAGGCCATTTGGACTCCCGGGTTGTAATATGGACTATGTTTTCACGAGTGGATAATGTGTGTTCGTATTCGATGTATTCGTGTTCTTCTAAAAGACATTCATTAGTGCAATTTCGAAGAGCTCGGGCTAAGACACTTATGATAACTCACAGCTTAGGTACGAGGGTGTAATGTTAAAAGTAGTGTGTTAGAACATTCGTGTTAATGGGGTTTCTGTATACTTTGCATATCTCCACCCTTGATAATTTAGACATTCAGAGTATGCACAAACCCGCCTCTCTCTTCTTGTAGCCTAAACTACATGGAAGACTCAGCCACGTCTAGTGTCTGAGCTGAGTGAGGAATAATAACCAAGATATAAACTCCTGGAAGGTCCCAGGTACATCTTCCATCATTATCAACCTATTTGCTTTACCGCTGTCCATCACAGAGACCGTGAACCTCAGCCTTGTTCTGAAGTTTTGTACAGGTATAAAAAGCATCTAACACGGTGACTTTATCTCCCAGAATCACAGGCACAATTATTTTTATTTCAAGAAATGATATATACTGTGTATCCTGACTACTACATCAGGATACATTCATAATGTGATAAACATAGTGTGTGCTGACTGCAGGTGGATACATGTGTGTCTGTGGTCCAGGATACATTCATAATGTGATAAATACAGTGTGTGCTGACTGCAGGTGGATACATGTGTGTGTCTGTGGTCCTGGATACATTCATAATGTGATAAACACAGTGTGTGCTGACTGCAGGTGGATACATGTGTGTGTCTGTGGTCCAGGATACATTCATAATGTGATAAACACAGTGTGTGCTGACTGCAGGTGGATACGTGTGTGTCTGTGGTCCTGGATACAGCGGGCAGCAGTGTCAGCTGGCAGACGCGGGCGAAACATCTATAAAACTCTCCTTGGGAGCTGTTGTTGCTATCCTCGTGTGGTGCGTCTTCCTCCTGCGTGAGTCTGCTTCTCTTGTCGTCCTGTTGGGTATCTTATCTAGAGTAAACTAGCAACATCTATCATACACATCAAAAATCAGATCCTCTATGATTAATCTGTTCATCCCTACAAATAGTGTTTCAGTACCAGACAGACCAGATATACCAGACAGACCAGACATTCCAGATATACTAGACAGACCAGATATACCAGACAGACCAGACATTCCAGATATACTAGACAGAACAGACATACCAGACATACCAGACAGACCAGACAGACCAGACAGACCAGACATAACAGACAAAACAGACATACCAGACAGACCAGACAGACCAGACAGACCAGACAGACCAGACAGACCAGACAAACCAGACAGACCAGACATAACAGACAAAACAAACATACCATACAGACCAGACAGACCAGACAGACCAGACAGACCAGTCATAACAGACAAAACAGACATACCAGACATACCAGACAGACCAGATATACCAGACAGACCAGACAGACCAGACAGACCAGACATAACAGACAAAACGACTACCAGAAGACCAGTAGCCAAAAGGGCCAGACGCCCGACAGCCCAAAAGACCAGCAGCCGACGACCAGCAGACCAGACGCAGACGACCAGACAGAATCCAAACATATGCCTATGGTTGCAAATGGTATTCTACATGTTTGCTATTCATCCAAACATTTCTGCTCTCAACATCAACATTCTTGCAATATGTATCAACATTGTCAGCTTTAAATATCAATTATCATTTCCTGAATACCAACATTTTTGCTACAAATATCAATATTACTGTTCTAAGTATCAGCTTTCCCAGCCTGACTATCAGCATTACTACCATGACTATCAACATTACTACCATGACTATCAGCATTACTACCATGACTATCAACATTAATACCATGACTATCAACTATACTACCATGACTATCAGCATTACTACCATGACTATCAACATTACTACCATGACTATCAGCATTACTACCATGACTATCAGCATTACTACCATGACTATCAACATTACTACCATGAGTGTCAGCATTACTACCATGACTATCAACATTACTACCATGACTATCAGCATTACTACCATGACTATCAGCATTACTACCATGACTATCAACATTACTACCATGACTGTCAGCATTACTACCATGACTATCAGCATTACTACCATGACTATCAGCATTACTACCATGACTATCAGCATTACCACCATGACTATCAGCATTACTACCATGACTATCAGCATTACTACCATGACTATCAGCATTACTACCATGACTATCAGCATTACTACCATGACTATCAGCATTACTACCATGACTGTCAGCATTACTACCATGATATCAGCATTAACTACATGACTGTCAGCATTACTACCATGACTATCAACATTACCACCATGACTATCAGCATTACTACCATGACTATCAACATTACTACCATGACTATCAGCATTACTACCATGACTATCAGCATTACTACCATGACTATCAGCATTACTACCATGACTGTCAGCATTACTACCATGACTATCAGCATTACTACCATGACTGTCAGCATTACTACCATGACTATCAGCATTACTACCATGACTATCAGCATTACTACCATGACTATCAGCATTACTACCATGACTATCAACATTACTACCATGACTATCAGCATTACCACCATGACTATCAGCATTACTACCATGACTATCAGCATTACTACCATGACTATCAGCATAACTACCATGACTATCAGCATTACCACCATGACTATCAGCATTACTACCATGACTATCAGCATTACTACCATGACTATCAGCATTACCACCATGACTATCAGCATTACTACCATGACTATCAGCATTACCACCATGACTAACAACGTTACTACCATGACTATCAGCATTACTACCATGACTATCAGCATAACTACCATGACTATCAGCATTACTACCATGACTATCAACATTACTATAATGACTATCAGCATTACTACCATGACTATCAGCATTACTACCATGACTATCAGCATTACTACCATGACTATCAGCATTACTACCATGACTATCAGCATTACTACCATGACTATCAGCATTACTACCACGACTATCAGCGTTACTACCATGACTATCAGCATTACTACCATGACTATCAACATTACTACCCTGACTATCAGCATTACTACCATGACTATCAGCATTACTACCATGACAAATCAGCATTACTACCATGACTATCAGCATTACTACCATGACTATCAACATTACTACCCTGACTATCAGCATTACTACCATGACTATCAGCATTACTACCATGACTATCAACATTACTACCCTGACTATCAGCATTACTACCATGACTATCAACATTACTACCATGACTATCAGCATTACTACCATGACTATCAGCAATGTCAACATATCTTCCCGCGAATACCAACTTTAATACCCAACATGCTAGTACTCCAGCACTTCGTGTTAACAACACAGACACGCAACACAGTGACTTCATCAGTCCAATACGAAGAAGACTGGTGAAGATTATCACTCCGTCAGCCTGGAGTCGATGTAATCAGTCCACCAATCTTATCAAAACTGATAGACTGATTACATCGACTACAGTCTGAGGGACTGATTACCTCAAACTCATTTTGATCTTTACCATTCTTCTTTGTGTTGGACTGATGAAGCTACTGTGTGGCGAAATATTTCCTCACTAAAGATACCCAAGTGTTGCACATGTGCCTAATTTATCAACTTGTCGGTTCTTCCGAACCGTTTATCTACTACGAGTGGAAGTTTGTTCACTTGCAGTGTTGCTGTGCGGCTTCCTGCTGCACCAGCATCATAAGAGATCTGTAGTGCGTCGAGGTGTTGGAGCGAGTGTGAAGGACTCCGTCAGGAAAGAGGACTCCTCCTCCCCTTGCACACACACACCAAACCTCCTGCAACTGCAGCTTGTCAAACCTCCCAGAGCCAACGGCCAGCCGGCCTGGACCACCAGGAACCCAAACATTGCTGGTAAGATGATAGAATCTTTGAGAAAATGAGTTGATTAAAAAACCGAAACAATGCATGGGACAGAATCCAAGGGAAAAAAATGACACTACACTGAAAGGCAATCCGTCTTTGTAATCTATAATTTATTAGTTTTCAACGTCTCTCGTGTTCTTTTTCTCTCTAATTCTTTTCCAAGTATTATTTCATGATTTCCTTTTCAATATGTTTGTTTGTGATTTCTTCCAGCAATTTTTCCAGAGATATGATTCAAAAGAACTTTCTTATAAGTAATAATGGCAGAATTACCTTCAAAATGTTAGGTAAATGGACACAGATACAACTACTGTTACATTTTATTGTGGCAACGTTTCGCTCCCCAGGAGCTTTGTCAAGCCGTTATCTGGTAACGGCTTGACAAAGCTCCTGGAGAGTGAACCGTTGTCACAATAAAATGCCACATTAGTTGCATCTGTGTCCATTTACCTAACAACTTCCATATCATGTCAGTCTTAAGTAGTGTATTCCCTTGGTCGCCAGACGTGGATGTTCTTCAAGTAGACGCCTCGTCTGTTACCAGCAGTATGGAAGACCAGAAGCGCACTATCACCTCCACACCAGTGGCGGGACTGTCCCTGCTAGGAGATAAGGGAAAAGAGACACTAGAGAGGAGCAAGAATGGATCAAGTCGAGGAGGAGGAACTACGATGCCAAGTGCCAGCGATGATCTCAGAAACTATGCTTACGAAGGTGAAGGCTCTTCCCCTGGATCACTGTCCTCGTGTAAGTCCAGACTCAGGAACCTGGTGAGAGCATTAATGTCCTGTAACCAAGTCATACAAATATTTGTCTGCTTTAAATAATTACACTAATATACTTTTATATATGAGATGGTGCACACATATAGATTAAGTGATAATCTATTTCAAAGTAGTCCTTGTGAATGTTGCAATATAACAAATGGTTTTACTGCTCTGTTGGCTTGTGACGCAGGTCTGGAGAGTTGCAGCGGCAGTGGCAAGTTTTTGGATGGATTCCGGGAGGTGGCTCACATGCTGGAGTCCTGACACTCGCCTAGCCTCGCTCGATCACCACCATCACACACCAAAACAAAGCTCACTGAGTCTGGAGGCAGTTTAGATACTCCTTCTATTTACTCAGATCCGCCTCCACCATCAGTAAGCGAGAAAATACGTACAAGTAATGAATGTGTTGTCACGGCTGCGACAGAAGACCCGCCTTGTGCCTTGAGCATAAAACATAATCTGTTCTGATTTTTTATCAAATACCTACAGATTAAATACTAAAGGAAATATTTGTTAGATAACTCATTTCTTATTTAACGTTAATATTTTACCTGGAATAAAAACATGTTTATCTTGAGATATGTATTTATTAAACTAACACCTTCACCTCAACACATGCAGACTCTGAAAGGTCCACATATGCAAAGTGTAACGTTTCCTCAATAGCCTTTGCAGGTATTATGAACACAGGTATTGTGTTCATAATACTTGTAATGGTTATTGAAGAAATATTTAATAACTGTTTCAAGTATTATGAAAAAAGGTACAGTTGTATAAGGTGTTGTACATGGCCAGAATACCAGCAAGGAAACAATAAGGTGATAGAGGTATGTTAAGGACAAAAGATCCCACTGAAGATTTGTTTTTTAGTTGCCATATATTCTCACCACCACTGTTATTTACAGTAAGTGAGATTTAGGCAGGTATTATAGCATAAAGTGGACAATTTAACAATCAATAAAGCAAGAAGAATACTCTCACTGGCTGCATCTTATACAGAGGACAGAACTCTAGTATGTGTTAATTTAACTGAAAGCAAGTGAGGGACTGACCTCCAAGGCGAATTCTAGTTACAAGGAAAGTTAGGTTGGAGCTCACTCCTTCACTCTGGTTGTTATTTACAAATGGTAGATACTCTCCACTGAGAGTCGGGGGCCCCTTCACTCACACCAGCAACAGGCTACAGGTTTTAAGTAATTCCATCAGATGAGTAACGTGCCAACATAGCATAAATAAAGATAACAAATGGTACAGTCTTTCCTCTCTAACACCTTCCCAACTGGCAGTCCTCCACAAAATAGTAAAAGTTCTCTAGGGAAGATAAAGCGTGTTTAAAGATAAGATACTTTAAGACCATGGCAATAAAAAGTTCTTGAACTGACACACTAATTAGTTAATCACCATGTTAGTCAAAATTCATTCTAAATGCCATATATCCCGTACCTAGTTTAACAGTGGACACATCTTTGACGAAAGTGCTGTACTTACTAGTACTGGACTGGTCGAAGTCTCTGGTTGTGGTATGTAGGGCACTCCAGCCCACTGTTAGCTTCACGACGCAAGCTAGTAAAAAATATATATGTATTATGGAACTGGGCAAGTCCTGACACTTTAAGTATCTTTACTGGCATACCTGGAGAGATGTGCGAGCCCAAAGAAGAAATTCTTTGTTTCAGTGCCTCCTTAGAGATTTCTAACTTCACTTGATTAACCGAGCTACTGATCTACACAATAATATTAGTATAGAACTTAGGGTTCTAAAATTATCGCCGTAATTATCGCCTGCCTTTATTCCCATGTGATTATACGCGGTTGACCCTCGAAGACTGTTTGACTTGCTGGTGCCTGCCATTCTTCTGCATAATGGCACCTAAACTGACGAACAGAAATAAAAGTTCTGTACATATGTTACTTGCATCTGTAGTCCTAGTCTAACTTAACTATTCATGCTGCAATCTTAGACAACGTTCTAGTTCAATACGGCTTAAAACTATTTAACCTTTGAGTTGGAGGTGTGACAACAGAGCCACACTTCAAGAAGCCGCCTTTGTGACGAGGGACATGGCTGAGTGTGACTTTCCTCTCTCAACTCCCTCCACCCCTCCTTTTCCACTTGTTACCATCTTTTAGCTTCGTTTATAAGGAAAACACTAGTTTTTTCCCCCTCTGGGGAAAAGGGCCTGTTTGCCAGTCATACTTGGTCACTGTTCATGATCCCTTTGACACGTTCTCTAGCCACCACTGCTGTCAGCGTTCAAGAGATGAAACTGCTGCTAGTATCTCCTGAAGAGTCATAGTTTCCTTCACTGGATAGTTCAGCTCTAGAGGCCCTAACCTGTCTATGGTCCAGGTGTGAACAGCTCCTATGCTGATAGTATCATTTGCATCGGCCATCAGGCAAACGTCTTCAGGTATCATTGTCGCTAAATTATAGTAGTGATTTGTTATCAGGGGTTTTGTCCCCACAGAAGTGTTCTCTCACGCCAGACCTTCTCCCAGTTCTTGATGAGTAGGTCTTCTAGTGAGACTTTAAGTTTAGCGGAGAAGTAGGCTTCCTGATGGAGAACTCCCGTAGATGCCTGAAGAGTTGTGCCATCTCCCATATCAGAGCACCAAACTGTAAAGTAAAAGATTGTGAATAATCTCGTTATAATAACATGGGATTTCTGATAATAACATGTGAGTTGTGCACGAAAGTATTTCTTCCACCCAGGAACAGAAAGGCTTGACCGGCTGCTGTCCCAAACTAAGTTGTCTAACCCATCGTCTGAATATCCCAAGGTAAGGTTAGCACTCTCACCAGATTTCCCCCTTGGACATTGCCCATATTTCGTACATGACAGGAACTAGTTCAGGGGCAAAGATTTCGATGCCCACTACTAAGTTAAGACAGATTGAAAGGGAGGAGATTGTTACCGATTAGATGTAAAGCATCTAATCGGTAAGTAAGTTTATTCAGGTATACATAAATAGAGTTACATAGATTATCATACATAGCAGCATATGTGTAGAGAACCTAGAATAACCCTTAAATAACCCTAGGATGACCTTTAAAATACGTCGTGGGACAGAAATTACTGCTTCATCAAATGCTTCTGCATGACATTTAGCTTCCAGTATCATCTGGTGGGAAATATTGTATCCCTCAACAAAGAACAGTGAACCCCGGTGTCTCTGAATGTTTTAACAGTCACATGTAAATCTGATTCTCGTAATGAGACTTGACCATCACTATAAAAAATTGCATTCCTCCACCTCCTCCCGGGAAACGGTAGTATATACAGGAGAAATGTTGCTTAGAAGATTCTGACTACTGGACGAACCCTTATTCAGGTTTATTCATTCAAGTTTATTCTCTATAGGGGTTACAATGTTGGGTTTACAGGTTTTGGGTATTTTGTGCTTTACATGTTATAAAATACTAATTACAGAGGGGGCCACTAGGACACCTAGCCTGGCTAGGCATTTCGGGCAGACTTAGATTAATTCTTAACATTAAATCCTTACAGATTATGGTATTAAGGCTAAGTGACAACATTATAATTTGTGAGTTTAGCAATGTGAATGCTTTTGTTTTGGCACAATACAAAGTGTCTGTATTTGAGTATCATAGGCAAACTTATGACTAGTTAGGATTTATTATTTTAAGATTAAGATTAGTATTTCTGGGTTTATAGTCAGTGGGTGAGTGAGTGTAATTGTGAACCACCAGGTTGTTATCATGTAGTTAGTTGTCGGGGTGGATCAGGGAGATAAGATGTTTTCTAACTGTAGTTTTGAAAGTGATGAATGTGTCTGCAGTTCTAGAGTTTTCAGGTAAGGTGTTCCAGGTTTTAGGTCCTTTGAAATACATTGAATTTTTGTAAAGGTTTAGTCGAACACGGGGAATGTCATAGAGATGTTTGTGTCTGGTGTTATGCCTGTGGATCCTGTCACAACTATCAAAAAAGCGTTTTAGGTAAAGGTTAATATTGGAATTTAAGGTCCTGTAGATATAGATTGCACAGTAGTAAGTGTGGATGTTCTGAACAGGAGTAAATTTAGATCTATGAAGAGTGGGGGGGGAGGTGTTGCCAGGAATGGGATTTAGTGATTATTCTTACTGTGGCTTTTTTGTTGGGTTATTATTGGCTTTCGGTGTGTTGCTGCAGTTGATCCCCAAGCACAGAGAGCATAGGTGAGGTATGGATATATAAGTGAATGGTATAGTGTGAGAAGGGCAGTTTGCGGTACGTAGTATTGTATCTTGGAGAGGATCCCCACCGTTTTGGATACTTTTTTTGTTATGTGTTGGATATGGGTGCTGAAATTTAGGTTGTTGTCGAGGTATAGGCCAAGGAATTTGCCCTCATTATGTCTGGCAATTAGAGTGTTGTCGATCTTAATGTTAAGTTGCGCAACACCTGCTCTGCTACCAAACATAATATAGTAAGTTTTGCCAGTGTTAAGTGTAAGTTTATTGGCTGTCATCCAAGTCGATATTTTGAGCAGCTCCTCGTTAACAATGGTGTTGAGGGTGGCAAGATTAGGGTGGGAGATGACATAAGTCGTGTCGTCAGCAAAGAGAATGGGTTTCAGGTGTTGGGATATGTTTGGAAGATCATTGATGTAAATGAGGAAGAGCAGGGATCCAAGGACACTTCCCTGCGGAACTCCAATCCTAGACTTATCAAAATCCGAAATAATAGAAGCAGTTCTGAGGACTGCTTCTATTATTTTTACGTGTATCTATACAGTTACACATAATAATCAAAGAAATTATTAAATCCTTGCAGATCATAAAACCTATCTCAATAATATGAATCTCTGTCTTCAGGTATCTCTATGTACAACACTAAACAGTCATTACAACATAACTATGAATCTTCATGTCTTCACATAGGACTTGAAGTAGTTGAGGATAAATCTACACACAGACATCCTCAGGCAGCAGTGAACTAAATACCATGTTCAGCAATGATCACTATAAGGCTCTCTCCCCATTCTGTGAAGTGTATGAATCCAGACTCTATCCTGTGTGCCAGTACATTATGACCATAATATGACAATGTCTGAAACAAATGACCTTGAAGTCCAAACATGGGTGTCAAAATAAAGAATAAATCCACTCAAGACGCAGCAGCTGTGGAGAAAATTCTCCAGTAAAGGAGGAGGGGGGTTATCTCTCCGCCATCTCAGGCCCCCTCAGCCCTCTGAGAGATTTATCCCTCTTAGAAAGGACTAGTGGACTCTTCCTTTCCCCACAAAACAGCTTTATTGAAACCACATGTACACCAGGCATCTCATGTACTGCCTCTCCTTGCTAGAATTGCTGATCAACTACGCAGTGAGCATTAAAAGAGGCTAATTACTCGTTTCCCCTTAGTTGGAGAATTACGTGAAAACCTGCGGGTCACTTGTCCTACAAGTAGAGACATCATGACTTCCAGTACACAGCTAAACAACAAGGTAACAACCTTCTTGTGTTATTCCTTGTTGAAATGTGTAGCAAGAAAGGTATATATAGCTGAGGTCAGCAGTTCCTTTGTGTGCAAGATGAACTGGTGGGCTCTGGGCAGCGCGACAAGTTAGGTTGAACTCAGACATCAGACCGTGAACACGTCACAAAACTCCCACTGAGAACAAAGAAAATAATGACTGTGCGGAAAACTCTGAAATACTGTCAATCTCCACTAGGAAAAAAACACGAGTGTATTATCCTCGGTATAACACCGATAAAGTGTAAAAGTTTGTGTTCCGGTATACAGGTGTTTGAAAAGGGCAAACAAGGTGACAGAAAAGGGTTTGAAAAAGAAAAGGTGACAGACGG